GACCTCTGGTGAGATGTCTGAAACTCTTTCAACAGAATATTCGGACTTTGTTGATAGAATCCATGTCATCATATTGTAGAGCAGATCAGGTACTATCTCAATCTCACACTCTAAATCGTCTGATGATGGTGGCCATGGCATTGTTGGTTTCATGTTGGCATCTAACTTTTGTATTGTTTTAGCCGTATGATAAACTTGACGGCTTACCTCGTCTTGTGCATTTGTTAAATCCGGCTCACTGTTACTGTTTGCTATTTGCTCTTCATCAACAGACGTAGTACTCTTAAGCATAGTTTCTACCACCTCTCCTGTTTTAAAGTGCGAACCATAGACTAATTCTGATTGGTTTTTGTTCGATGGTCGATGAAAGGACAGTCGCTCTCCAAAAAAACGCGTAAGGCGGTTCTTCAGCCTAGTGGATCTGTACGTCACTACATCTACTCCTTCTTCTGTAAGGAAGGAAGTGTATTTTTCAATAAGGGTTGACATCGGAATGGCTTTTGCCGCAGCGATGACTTCTTTTTCAACAAATTCTTTGACTTTACCAAATGCTTTGTCATAACCCTCAGTTCCAGCATCTTTTTCTTGACAATTCTGCTCTTCTAACTTAGCCAGTTGCTCTGGGTGGACATAATTTTTGTAGCATTTTCGATGATACTTGATCTCCATAGCTATAGTGTCTCGTCCATCAATGTGCAATAGCATGCAGCTGTCATTCCAAATCCGGGCTGCTTTTATCAGAGTGGCACTACCAAATTCACTAATGTTCAGTGTAAGTGGTTCTCTTGTTCTTGCTCCTTTGCCGTAGCCTTTCTTGACTTTGTCCTTCTGACAAATTTCACATTTATCAATGTCAAATGTTTGAAGTTGTGACCTACAGACCCTCTTACAGGAAGGCTCAATGCCACTGGACTGCCCAACAGACTCTCCATCTCGATCCTGTCTGGTATTGCAGTGACTTAGACAGTTTTTGTTTATGTCTTTGTATTCTTGGTAGCATTGCCGGTGATATCCCCCTTTTGGTCCCTCATTCAGTAGTCCTTCATAATCAACCAGATTGCATCCCTTCTCCGAGTCGAGCAGCTTTCAAACTTTCCCCAGCTTTTACTAGTAAATGATGTTAATTCACCTTGAAAATTTTCTTTTACATGACAAAGGCACGTATTCCAGTTAGGTTTCTGTATCGAGCTGGACATTGAGCGCTTTCTAGTACAACTTACTGGCGTAATTTCTGCCATATCCTTGATCACACTAGCTTGTTTTCTGAAACTCTTCAAAAGTCACTAAAGAAAAGAAGCAAAAAAAACCTTATTTCCTTAACACGAGCAAACTTATTGAAAACATAACTTCTACGTTGGATTTGACCGCTTCCACGCCAAAGACTTCAGTATCGATGTTGTAGTGAAAACAAAATCTGACAGACTACTTACAGTTATTCTAGTAATGTTTTGTAGGAATTTTAGCTTTTAAAAAATAAAATATACTGTACAGAAACTTACAGATGTTACTTGAGTTTATCTTGCACAACGAAGCATCGAAATTAAGAGGAAAATCTGTACAAAATCACCATTCTCTTATCATTTTGTCTGCACACCATTTTCCAAGATGGCCGCTCATGAATAATAAGTTTGAATTGCATCATGGGATAGACAATCTGGAATGGAATTTTAATGGAATAGTGGACACTGGATTATCAAAATGTGCCGGCTTTTCTTTCATTAAAAAACTAATAGAAGAAAACACTTTACAGATTTTGGTCGGTCCATTAGTCTCAAATCTATTTTGAGTTTTTATTTTTTTCCTCTTTGCTATGAAACGAATTACAACAATTGTGAAACAAATGAACTGGTTGGCTCACGGGAACATTGTTGAGCCTTAAAGCCTTTGACATTCCTTTTCGTTCATAAGAACCAAGCACAGAGCAGAAAGTTCAACAGTGCGCACCTAACAAGGAACATATCCACTCCAGTTTTTAGAGGGAGTGTACGGAAACTCTTCCATAAAAGAAAGTTCTTAAATTTTCACGAAATGCTATCCAAGAAAAGACACCTCTAGCTTGAAGCAGAAGAGGATCGAAATACACACTCCGTAATTGGTTACGTTCAGAAGCCAATAGGAAAACAAGAATTTCGATCCGCCACGTGGGTATTTATGTTCAAGTTCAAAGCTCAATAGACAGAACGGCTGTACCGTTCTCGCTACAACAAAGTACAAC